CTGACCCTGCATCCTCAAAATGCACCCTCAGTGATCCATCCAGTATGGCTGCATCCAGATCCTGCTCCCTGCCTTCAGCCTGCCCTGCAGCTCACCTGCCCACCAGCTACTACTGGACTGATCACAGGCACTCATACCCCACTGTGCCCCTGCGACTGCTGTCCTACCATCAGTGGTCCTTGAGCTGGAGTTGTACGGGAGGCCTGCCTCTTCACGTCAGGCTCACTATCCAGGTACGTGACATAGTGAAAATTCATTGAAAAGAATACCCAATCATGTACAAGGAAAATTAAATTAAAAACTGTGTTTTTGCTTTGTATATTTTTGGGTTATTGAAGTCAGCACAACGAAGAGATAATTCACTTAATTTAGTGAGTGAGGTGAAGCTGTGCTGATTTCAATCATCCAGTCATGACTTCAATCATCCACTAATGACTTCAATCATCCAGTCATAAAGCACAAATCTATTTTTTAAAAATCCTTGCACATGATTGGGTATTCATATGAATTTTTGCTTGCAAATGCTTCTGAATTCTGTTTACATTGGAAGGATGGATGTAACATCACAAGTGGCATCTCAACGCATCCTCTGAGTATGAAGACCAGGGACAAAGCTATTGCAGCTCTTTCCATCATCTCCCTGGAGTAACAGATCACTGCTATATGTATATCTTAAAAGTAAATAAAAATACTCCCTCCCAGATAGAATCCCCAGATTGCAAACATGATGTTGGATAACCTGGATGACACATGTGTTTACTGCACGAGTATCAAATGCCCACGAACACAAGGTCATTAAAATTTTTAGTGATTGCAAACCTGTGAAAAAGTAATTGTCATGCCAGTTGTACCCTTGTCAACCTGATTTAATCTCCCCCACCAGAAGTCCCCTCCCCTAACAGGCAGAACTGTGCTATGTGGTAGAGCTGTATAAATTTTAGCATTGGATAGACAAAATAAACAAAGTAGAATTTAGGTATTTGCCCAAAGTTCAGATTTAATGTTTACTTCATAAACCATGTTTGAGTGGAATTGGTATTTAAAAGGCTACCGTATTTTTCGCCATATAAGACGCTCCGGAATATAAGACGCACCCAATTTTAAAGGAGGAAAATCTAGAAAAAAAGAAGATTCTGAACCCAATACATATAGTAATTCATCCCCCATATAGTAATTCATCCCCCATATAGTAATTCATCCCCCATAGTAATTCATCCCCCATAATAATCCCCCATAGTAATTCATCCCCCATATAGTAATTCATCCCCCATAGTAATTCATCCCCCATATAGTAATTCATCCCCCCTATAGTAATTAATCCCCCATATAGTAATTCATCCCCCATAGTAATTCATCCCCCCCTATAGTAATTCATCCCCCCTATAGTAATTCATTCCCCATATTGTGTCAATTCACTTACCTTTGCTCGCGCGTTCCTCTCGCCGTGTTCCCCGCGCCGTTCCGGTCTTCAGGGCTGATCCACGAGCAGAGGGGGTGATGATGTCAGCGCGCACCGCCGGGTGTACTAAGATGGCGACCACTCCAGAGATAGGCCAAAGCCGCGGCCTTTCCTACGGCCGTGGCCGCTCCTCACGGATTCTCTCTCTATTCATCATATAAAGACGCACCAACTTTTCCCCCCCAGTTTTGGGGAAGAAAAAGTGCGTCTTATACGGCGAAAAATACGGTACTTATTTACCTATTTAAATAAGTGACTTGTTGACAGGCAATAGCTGACGTTTTTTGGGTGCTGTTTCGTTCACCAGATCCACAATTTCAAAAGCCTTCAGGAGGGTGACATCACTGTATTTCTCATTGGAAACAATGATAATATTTATCTAGCTACATCATAATTTGATTTGAGCAGGGATACAGTCAATGATATTCCCTTATTTTAAATGGCACTTTGGAAGGAAAGTGCAGAAAATATAACAGAAATTTTCAGGTATTTAATGACTCCTCATATATCATCCTAGGCCAGCGTTTTACGTTAGAACCAAGTAAACCTATATTTAAAGTCTATCGGAATGCAAAACCCACCTAAAACTGGACAAATGTAGGACTGAAGAAGGTCAACTGCTGGTCAAGTGCCCTTGTCAATGAATTCTGAATATTATAAAAGCTTACCAAACTGATGTCAAACTGATGCTATCGACACAAGCCCAAAGCTTGTCGACACAGGAGCTTGCTGACTTACCATGCCTTGTTCTTCATTGTGTCTCTGCATGGTGGCCATCTTGGTAGAGGCAGGGCTTTGCTTCCTCATATCAGAGCCTCCAACAAAGAGAACAGCAAGCAGCACAGTAGTGACATCACCAAATCTCACAAAATATCTCCTGAGACTAAGATTTCACACTGCAGATATACAACTACAAAGCTGTAAACACAGGAGTGCTTAGGCACACTCATACTGGGTAGTGCACTGCTACTGTTCAAAACACAACCTTCATACTCTTTATTTCTCACAATGTGTACATACCCTGCACCCCTACAGACAATGAGTATGCCTAGATAAAGAGAAAAGACCTCTTGCAGTGTGGATACAATGTGCAGCGGCAACTCAATATAATCTACCATAGTTTGTAGAAACGAGGGAAAGATGTTTTCTCTGATGGCAGAATTTTACGTGAGAAATACATAATAATATATATCTTAAATATTTAGATAGTTCATACTAATTTATAGTGTTATATCTATTTACTGCCTTGACTACATTATTGTTCCATTGAATATGTGTCCAGCCACTCAGCTTACCAGGCAAAACCAAATTTCTAAGTATTTTTTATATCCTGGAACTGTAAGATGAAAAGAACACTTAAAAGGCTGCCTGACATTAATGAGAGGCTCTGTGTTTTCTGTATGGAGGCCACAGGTTAAAAGCTCATGAATGAGGTCTTGTGTTAACACCTGCTTCTTTCATTTACTGTACCCCTTGGTGCAGTAACTGAGCAACGTACAGCACCCGAGGCATCGAATACTTCCAGTACGCAGTGCACATTAAAACTCTGACAGTATGTGATCTGGATTTCAAAAAGCACCTACACTTTAAAATACTGTCTCTTCATCTTTAATAGTTTTTTCATGACTGGACATGTTCTATAGGATATTTTGGTTTGTGAAAATTAAAAGCCTATCAGTCATGAAGCACATATACCTTAGGTCAGCCTTGCTCAGCCAGGGTTCCATGGATCCCTAGGGTTCCTCCAGAGGTTACTAGTGGGTTCCTTGAGCAAAGAGCAACTTCTACCTCTTAGAAAAATAACCACCAAAAGCAATAATCTTTAAAGCTATTTGTAAGGTGTAGAAAGGAACATTTTTCCCAGTGACCATCACACTAGTGAACCATGAGCTGTAGAAATAATTATTATCAGGGGTTCCCTGGGACATGAAAGTTGTTTCAAGTATTCCTGTGTTAAAAAGGTTTAGAATGGCTGCCTTAGATAGCTCAAAATTGCATTAAAGCTGAACTCTGGTAATAGTAACAGTCCTCCCTGGGGATGCTCTAGCATAGCATTGGTAAACTGCTCATGTATGCCTACAGGGCCAGGGTAAAGCATTTTACTTACCTGATCCCCCCAGGCTCCTCCACACTGCTAGACAGGTTCTTGCAGCCTCTGGTCCCCTGCACTCCAGTGCATTTCATTGATGTCACTGATTTAAAATCCATCAATAATCTCAAACGCATTGTGTCATTTTTTACTCTCAGCAACCTTTACTTAACTGCTGCCACCGCTTCAGTCACGGTGATAAAAAAACAATTTGTCTGCCCAGAAGGTATTAAAAGATGGCTAGATTGATGTAATGTCGCTTTCATATGTTTCCAAATAAATATCTGTACCACCTATAGCTACATACGTAAGAGACAGAAGAGCAGGTCTTCACGACCATCACTTCGTGTCCATAAAATAGATATTTCTTTAAGGTAAGTCAACTGAAATAAGTCAATAAATACGGCTGTTTGAAGGACCTGTTGTGGCTTTACACTTTCACTTGTGTGATTGTGATGATTGTGAATTAACCCTCCATTCCTGTTTTCTGAAGGTTCAAAACTATTAATTCCCAGAGTGCACCTTTTTGGAACATATTTCCTAGAATTGTCATTTCTCTATGCATGGAAAATCAGGCTAAATCAGCTTAAGAACATACACTCTAATGCCAACAGTATTGGGACGCTTGCCTTTACGCACGATTCCTGTGCGAATAACATGCGGGGTCCAGCACTGCATAGTGTGAACCCGGGCTTAGTTGCATAGTAATTCTGCACAATAATAGTTGCCCAATAATTGTGCACACATAGATATTCTCCTAAGAAAGCCAATACCTCACTTTCCTAAATATTCAGGTGTGAGTTTTATTAATATTTTTGGCTTGATGGAGAGCTCTGTAGTTGTTCAATAATGAAATTAATCCTCACAAATACAGCTTGCCTAATAGGTTTTCACACAGTGTCTATATACTATATTGCTAAAAGTATTGGGACAAATGCCTTTAGACACATATAAACTTTAATGGCATCCCAGTCTTAGTTCGTAGGGTTCAATATTGAGTTATCCCACCCTTTGCAGCTATAACAGCTTCAGCTCTACTGGGAAGGCTGTCAACAAGGTTTAGGAGTGTGTCTATGGGAATTTTGACCATTCTTCCAGAAACTCATTTGTTAGGTCAGGCACTGATGTCGGAGGAGAAGGCCTGGCTCGCAGTCTCCACTCTAATTTATCCCAAAGGTATTCTGTTGTATTGAGGTCAGGACTCTGTGCAGGCCAGTCAAGTTCCTCCACCCCAAACTCGCTCATCCATGTCTTTATGGACCTTGCTTTGTGCACTGGTGCGCAGTCATGTTGGAACAGGAAGGGGCCATCCCCAAACTGTTCCTACAAAGTTGGGAGCATGAAATTGTCCAAAATGTCTTAGTATTCTGATGTTTTAAGACTTCCCTTCACTGGAGCTAAGCCCAACCCCTGAAAAACAACCCCACACCATAATCCCCCCTCCACCAAACTTTACACTTGGCACAATGCAGTCAGGCAAGTACTGTTCTCCTGAAAACCGCCAAACCCAGACACGTCCATCGGATTGCCAGACAGAGAAGCGTGATTTGTCACTCCAGAGAACATGTCTCCACTGTTCTAGAGTCCAGTGGTGGCGTGTTTTATACCACTGCATGTGACGCTTTGCATTGCATTTGCTGATGTAAGGCTTGGATACAGCTGCTTGGACAAGGAAACCCATTCTATGAATCTCTCTATGTTCCCAGGTGCTTCCACTTTGACCGTGGAATATTTAGTAGCAAGGAAATTTCACGGATGGACTTATTGCACAGATAGCAAACTATCACAGTACCACGCTTGAATTCATTGAACTTCTCTGAGAGCGACCCATTCTTTCACAAATGTTTGTAGAAGCAGTCTGCATGCCTAGGTGCTTGATTTTATACACCTGTGGCTATGGAGGTGACTGGAACTCCCAAATCCAATGATTTGGAGGAGTGTCCCAATACTTTTGGCAAATATAATATATTTAGCAATTCAGGGCATTAAGTAGAAGTATGAAAATATAAAAAACATACATCTATACTCACCTCCCTGCTGCAGAATCGTTCTGATGCTGCAGGTGTTCCCCTCTGGCTCTAAGCCTTAATACCAATTGATTACATGACCTCTGTCAGTCACCACTCTCTGCTCTGTCCCTCCAGCACTCACTGGAATGCCAGGCTGGGGAGGGGGCAGGACCTGCTGGATCAGGCTCTCGGCAGCACACTTGGATGGGGGGGCCAGGTGGTGGGCACCCCTGAGTGAAGAACAACACAGATAGGGATCTGAAGTTGCAGGAAATGTATTGTCAATGGTATCAGTGCAAGGAATGGTGCCCCATTATTGGTGTCATTTGAAGGAACAGCACTCCATCAATGGTGTCAGTGGGAGGAATAGTGCTCCAAGGGCAAGATAAAAGCAAGCAAATGGCCACATCTAGCTCCTGGGCCACAGTTTGGAGGATACAGGTCTACACATATGAGTTTCTTCACTTGGCTGTGTGCTGCTGGCTTTACTGATTGCTGTGGGAAAAATACACTGCTCAAAAATATTAAAGGAACACTTTTTAATCAGAGTATAGCATCAAGTCAATTAAACTCCTGGGATATTGATCTAGTCAGTTAAGCAGCAGAGGGAATGGTTTTACAAGTGAAGGCCACTGCCATTTGTTTCCCTACTCATCTTTTCTGACTGTTTTTCACTAGTTTTGCATTTGGCTAGGGTCAGCATCACTACTGGTAGCATGAGCCGATACCTGGACCCTACAGAGGTTGCACAGGCAGTCCAACTCGTCCAGGATGGCACAAGAGCATGGAGGAGATTCCAGGAGACAGGCAATTGTTCTAGGAGAGCTGGACAGTAGAAGGTCCTTAACCCATCAGCAGGACCAGTATCTGCTCCCTTGTGCAAGGAGGAACAGGATGAGAACTGCCAAAGTCCTACAAAATTACCTCCATCGACCACTGGTGTGAATGTCTCTGACCAAACAATCAGAAACAGACTTCATGAGGGTGGACTGAGGGCCCAACCTCCTCTAGTAGGCCCGGTGCTCACTGCCTGGCACCATAGAGCTCAATTGGCATTTGCCACTGAACACCAGAATTGTCAGGTCCACCACTGGCACCCTGTGCTTTTCACAGATGAGAGCAGGTTCACCCTGAGCACATATGACAGATGTTCTACACATATGTGTTTCTTCACTTGGCTGTATGCTGCTGGCTTTACTGATTGCTGTGGGAAAAATACACTGCTCAAAAAAATTAAAGGAACACTTTTTAATCAGATCATAGCATCAAGTCAATTAAACTCCTGGGATATTGATATATTGATCTGGTCAGTTAAGCAGCAAAGGGGTTGTTAATCAGTCTCAGCTGCTTTGGTGCACTAGATGGGCAACAATGAGATGATCCCCAAAACAGGAATGGTTTTACAGGTGGAGGCCACTGACATTTTTTTCCCTACTCATCTTTTCTGACTGTTTTTCACTAGTTTTGCATTTGGCTACTGTCACTGTCACTACTTGAAGTATGAGCCGATACCTGGACTCTACACAAGTTGCACAGGCAGTCCAACTCCTCTAGGATGGCACATCAATATGTGCCATTGCCAGAAGGTTTGCTGTGTCTCCCAGCACAGTCTCAAGAGCATGGAGGAGATCGCAGGAGACAGGCAATTACTCTAGGAGAGCTGGACAGAGCCGTAGAAGGTCCTTAACCCATCAGCAGGTATGGTATCTGATCCTTTGTGCAAAGAGGAACAGGACGAGCACTGCCAGAACCCTACAATATGACCTCCAGCAGGCCAAAAAATAATCAGAAAAAGACTTCATGAGGGTGGCCTGAGGGCCCGACGTCCCCTAGTGGGCCCTGTGCTCACTGCCTGGCATCATAGAGCTCAATTGGCATTTGCCATTGAACACCAGAATTGTCAGGTCTGCCACTGGCACCCTGTGCTTTTCACAGATGAGAGCAGGTTCACCCTGAGCACATGTGAGAGATGTGAAAAAGGTCCAGAAAAGCCGTGGAGAGCATTATGCTGCCTGTAACATCATTCAGCATGACCTTTTTCGGTGGTGGGTCAGTGATGGTCTGGGGAGGCATATCCATGGAGAGACACACAGACCTCTACAGGCTAGACAATGGCACCCTGACTGCTATTAGGTAGGATAAATTCCTTGGACCCATTGTCAGACCCTACGCTGGTGCAGTGGGTCCTGGGTTCCTCCTGGTGCACGACAATGCCCGCCCTCATGTGGTGAGAGTATGCAGGCAGTTCTTGGAGGATGAAGGAATTGATACCATTGAATGGCCCCATGCTTGCCTGACCTAAATCCAATACAACACCTGTATCATGTTTCGGTCCATCAGACGCCGCCAGCTTGCACCTCAGAATGTCCAGGAGCTCAGTGATGCTCTGGTCCAGATCTGGGAGGGAATACTCCAGGACACCATCCGTCATCTCATTAGAAGCATGCCCCAATGTTGTGAGGCATGCACACAAGCACGTGAAAACATTTTGAATTGCTGCAAATAAATTTCAGCAAAATGGACTAGCCTGCAGCATCATTTTTTCAATGATTTTTGGGGTTTCTTTGAATTCAGTGTTTAATAAAATGAGACCCATTCTGTGATATTTCCCATGCATTTCTATAATGAGGCATACTGATCTGTTTTCCAATGGCTGGTAAATAGCAGCATACAGTATACTGCAACACTATCAGGAACATATTTGAACCTTGTGAGGTGCTGCCTGGAATACTAATCTTGTTTGTTTACACCGGCAGATCTGTATTGTTCTGATGCAGACAGCCACAGTTCCAGTATTTTCCTACCTTGCTGCATGTAATATTATTCACAGAGAGGTGGACGGTGTACTTAGCCTGTGAGGTTGGATAAGTTCACATCCGATAATTGGATCCTGCAAATAACACTTTCATGGCTGAATGACTTGGGATAAATAGAAATTCCACTTTTATATTCTTTTACCTCAATTCAAGATAAAGCAGTAATAAAAATAAAATGAAGTGATGGCATTGCAGGTTATTGTATAGTGTTCTGTATTTTGTAGTATTATTATTATTACAGTAGTAGTAATACACAAAGGGCTAGCAACCCTTTGTAAGTAGATTGCACATTGGTTTGTGGAGATGTACACTATATTTCCAAAAGTATTGGGCCAGCCCTCCAAATCATTGGATTCAGGTGTTCCAATCACCTCCATGCCAAAGGTGTATAAAATCAAGCACCTAGGCATACAGACTGCTTCTCAGGAGCTCAGTGAATTCAGGTGTGGTACCGTGATAGGCTGCCACCTGTACAATAAGTCCATCCATGAAATTTCCTAGCTTCTAAATATTCCACGATCAACTGTTAGTGGTATTATAACAAAGTGGAAGCAACTGGGAACAACAGCAACTCAGCCACAAAGTGGTAGGCCATGTAAAATGACAGAGCAGGGTCAGTGCATGCTAAAGCGCACAGTGCGCAGAAGTCATAAACTGTCTGCAGAGTCGATAGCTAAAGATCTCCAAATGTCATGTGGCCTTCAGATTAGCACAACAGTGCCCAGAGAGCTTCATGGAATGGGATTCCATGGCTGAACAGCTGCATCCACGCCTTACATCATCAAATGCAATGCAAAGCGTCAGATGCAGTGATGTAAAGCACGCTGCCACTGGACTCTAGAGCAATGGAGATTTCATCTCTATTACCTGGCACTGAGCCTTCACATCTCAGTCCAGCATTCCAGGAGTCTGCCCAGGCTGGAGGATTTGGGAAATAGGTCCAGACCATCATCCCTGGCAGCTGTCACCTCAATAACCACCAGAGGATACCTTTATCATCAGGCTGTACCTTCACGGGACCTCCGGCTACATGGAATTTCTATGTGCACATTAAAATTGCACTTCCGGTGAGTGGGCAATTTTTCTACACCTTCATGTCAGGATGCTGGAATATACCCATTTGGATTGAAGTCATATATACTGCATCACTGGAATATACCCATTTGGATTGAAATCATATATATTACCTTGGACTGTTTACCATTCAGTTTACAGGACTTCTTCCTTTTTTGCCATATCTATGATAGTGTGTTTATCTGTATAGCGCTGCACACCCCATATTTATGTTATAAACTACACATACTGTACCTAATTTCTGCTCCCTTAATCTATTGTACCATATCCCCTAGTCATAGTATATATGTAGCATGGGCCTCTGAGAATTACCCAGGTCTCTCTTGCTGGTACAGAGGCTGCCTACCACAGACACAGTTCCATGCATATCAACAACGCAGGCTCAGTCTAGGGCAGCCTTTTTCAACCAGAGAGCCCAGGTTGCCTGGGGTGCCTTCAGGTTTCTTCAGAGGTGCCATGACAAAATGCCTAAACATTGCCCAAAAAATGTATACAAGCCAGCCGGTGGATCAAGCCTACCTTTAAGTTACACAAAGCCATAGATTGACATTGTTCACCATTACAATCTCCTAGACGCCAGTGTCCTAACAACCAATGCCATCTTGATAACTGATAAGGAGGACATTGGGCGCATGCAAATCATCTTGTTTACCCCTCTCCTGCTCCTCAACATCAGCACTGGGGTCACATTAGTTGAGTGAGGAAGAGAAACTGAGAGAGAAGAGAAATGTTGGAACACCAATTAGTACCAGTGTGGAAAGGTGTGTTTGCTTTGTAGGAATAAATCACCTCTAATGTTGGGTGTTCTACATATCTGGAAGTTGCTGCGTTTTGTAAAACTATTATTTTAGCTTTTTACATTTTAAAATGCAGTGTCTCCTTATAACTGCAGTAACACATGAGAGTCCTAAATCAGGTGCTACTTACAATGTTTCAGGAGCTTTACACCACTCAGCTTACATCAGGAGATC